TGCTATGTCGAGACTTTAACATCGGTAGATTAGTGTTTATCACTTTGTTTGTAATGACCAGGTTATCCCTAAGAATATTACATTTAACATTTTTCTAGGAACTTTCTATTACATGAATTATCCATCCCCAGCTTTCTTTGGAAAATTGGGTCCAATGAGGAGCACATTGTCCTCAGTCGCATGTTCGGGTTATCCTTAAGAATATAAGATTCTATAGGAACTTCCCATGAAAAAAAGGAAACAGTTTAGACTCATATACCTATTGGAGTATTGAGAAGTAGTTTATACTCGTATACTCTTCGGAGTGTTGAGAAGAAGTTTATACTCGTATACTATTTGGAGTTACGAGAAGCAGTTTATACTCGTATACTCTTTGGAGTATGCCATTCTAATTTGGCTTATCCTAGCGTTATGACACCAGCTTAAACCAAGGTTTGAATGCTATCTTGAGAGTGAAGTAAGCCTTGGTGGGATGAAGGATCCTCCTGTGGTGCGTACAGTACTTTGGATCCGAAGTATTGTCAGCTTCCTCCTGATTTGCGATAGGTGGTAGCTTGATCTTGTTGTTTTTAAGGAGGGATTCGAAAATGGCCGGAACATCTTTGTTCTTGAAGGAGTACTCTTTTGGAGTCTCGAATCCGAAATCTTTTGCTGTCTTTGGGGTTATTGTTGTGACGTCTGATTAACGTCAACAACTGTTGTAGGTGTCTTCCCCTTACCACGGGAGGCAAAGTTTGATTTCAAAGGGTTAGTCGTTGGTTGGCTTCTTTCGGCTTTCTTCCTTCTGAGGAAGCGTTAAGCCTGCTCTCCACGCACCATCAACTCTTTCCAGGTGTTGGATGGTGATACTCTCATAACCTTCAAAATATCAATGGATAGGTTGTTATGATAGGTTTGGAGGATGAAGTCCTTTGTGATTGGATCTCGACAGTTCATCGCTTTATTTCGGAAGCGCTTGATGAAGTCGTCAACTGTCTTTTCATCTTCTTATTTTTCCTCAAAGAGTGTCTTGATGGATACCTCGGTGTCGTCATCAAAGAAATTACCGAGGAATGAGCTTTCCATATCGTCCCAGCAGTTTATGCTTCTAGGCTTGAGATGGCGGTACCAATCTAAAGCAGGCCCGCAAAGGGTACCAATGAATGACTGAACCATCAAAGGCTCATTGCCAGAGATCACTCCCATGTGGGACTTGAAATAGATTAAATGTTGAGTGGGCAAGCCCTTCCCGTCGAACGACGTGAAGTTGATCAAGTTGAACTTCGCTAGATATGGGATCGATTCCCACTCTCTTGGATAGGGACATGGAATGTCGTTCCTTTTTACCTCTCGAACAGACATCAGAGCGTTGATTTAGCTCTCGAGGTCTTTCATCTTTTCATCCTCATCTGTATCATGCTTTTGATGATTTCTGAGAGGAACAATGCGGTCACCCCTGGCATTGTCATCTTTGGTGGGACCACCCCCAGCGCTGTTGTCTTTAGTGGGGCCATCCCAGTGTTCTGGTCAACGGGAGGGTTATTAGCTTTGAGGTGCTCATCCATATTTGAATTGCGACGGCTGGATTCACCAAGTTGATTGGACAGAGCCCGAATATGTTGATCATGCTCTTCCTTCATCCGCTGCATAACCATTTCCATTTCGATATTGAATGCCTCTTTCTGCTTGGCTAGAGAATCCTCAAGAATTTTAGCCATTTGCTCGGTGTTAATCATGAATGCCTTATGGGATTGTCCTGGGCTGGATACTGTATTGTCAGAAGTGACTACGAAGTTGGCATCTGATACTTCACCATCCGAGGATAGGCCTCTATTCATCCTCTGATAATTCCTTTGCCTAATGGTTTTCGATCGCAACCGGGTTAGATGATGCGATATGAGAGGGTCAGAACTAGAAGGTTGACTTGCCTTCCTCTATTAGCTACGTTAATTGTGACTTTTGGAAGTTCGTCATCTTGAACGACTGATTGTTTTTTGCGGAAACGTCTTGGCTTAGTATTTGATGCTTCAGAGGAAAGCCTTTAGAATACCGAGACCCTCTATCAAGTGGTCTTAGGGAAGCTACATGCTGATAATACTGCCCTAATAAGGTTGGCACACTGACAATGAAATTCCGTTTCCCAGATTTCTCTCTTTCGAGATCTGTTCGTACCCCCATCCTGATAGTACAACTTATCGGCATGATGAACGGAGCTATCTATCGCGTGTTGCCACAACTTCTCAGGTATAACGTCATCGTCTGACGAACACATTTTCTTTTGAGGACTTGATGCCTTGTTGGTGTTCTCGAGAGTCACACGTTTGGAGCCATGCTTTTGTGAGTGCGGGATCTCAACGGGCTCTTAGAATTTGACTCGCGATCTGATATGGTCGGTTATTATAATTTCCTCTTTATGAGAAGTCTCCAAGTTGTTGCGAGGGTGTGTACGACCCCCAGTTTGATGAGTTGCTCGAGGTTCTTTCACCGGACCTAAGTGCTCTTTGATCGACACTCGACATTGATCCTCGTGCAAAGGACCTAGGCGATCCTTCAACGAAATCTTGAATTTGGAGAGATCCATGCTACCATAGGTATTCACCGGAGGTGCGGGAGCCGGAGGAGCAGGATCTGAAATTGACGAAGGCTGAATAGTAACTTCGTCTGCTTTTTTGTTAGGCGCTGATTTGACCTTTGGCTTCCAAACCCGTTTATACTTGGGTGATTTCTTAACCGCCTCTTTTTTCTGCATTTCTTGTGTCTTTCGCACAAAGATCCGGGTGTGCGCAAGAAGTGCACAGCGCTTCTGAATGCGCTCCTCCAGAGTGGAACGGTTCCATTTAACACGAATCCATTCGCTAGCCGGTGATTTGGAGAAGAATCCAGAAGCTTGTTATGGTGATGGTTTAGCCATTTGGTGTCTCCTGGACTTCAAATCCGTTTTGTAGCGGAGCCCGTCCACTTACTCCAAAGACTTAGCAAACTAGCAGGTGAGACGTTGGTGGCGCCTCTGACGAGCCCTCTTTGATAAAGTTGGCGCGCCTTCAACAGTTAACTCCTTAATGGAAGCGGTGTCCAGATCTGTGGCTTTGGCTTCATCAGACACCGACGGATCATTGTGAGGTACAACTGCAGTAGCGGTAGCGGGAAGATTGCCTCCTTGGGTCTTCAGATCTGAAGACCAGCGGATCTTTAAGGAGGAGGAGACATTCATGCACTTACGAGGAGAGGCGGATTTGGAGGAGGAGGAGGAGACATACTCCTCGAACTTCTGTTGGTCGAACTCGTATTCGACCAATTTAGCCACGGGGATCTTGATAGTCGGCTACGGCACGACAACCTTGGCAGTAAGTCTGTTGGCTCCCACTATAGTCGCCAGCTTGTTTTGGTGAAAAATCAATTTCTTCATAGATGTAGTCATTACAACTTCAGTCATTACAATGAAAACAAAAAGATAGTCTTTTTATAAGACTCTTACACAATGAAAATAAAAAATACAATTCTTATCAAAACAAACGCAGAGATCGTTTATCGGTGTTCTACTTATGCAGGATCTTTGCCTGTGTCTGGGTTAATCCGTGGACCACCGAACAATCAGATCTATCTGAAGTTTCACTGATTCGTGAAGGAATTAAGAAACTGAAGCAATTATCTCGGCAACAGCGAGATAGCCACTCTTCTTGAGATCGTAGATAGGTACGATATCAAGGGAAGGAACCGAGAACTGTAGATCTGTCGAACTCTTCTTCTTTATGCCTAAAGAACTCAATTTGATCTCCTCATTCTCTCTGAAATACATGGCTCTTCAATCTCTAATTCAGCAGGGCTTCGCCGACGCTTGAGAATTCCAGCTCTGTGCAAATAAAGGCCCTAGGGCTGTATTTATTGACTTCAGGACCTCCGTTTCTAGATAAGAACGACCAATTCACTCTTATCCTTAGTTGTAACTACTTTATCATGTTCTTGGATGATATTTAGATCAGTTAAAATAAATCCGGGTGAAAACAGCTTCAAAACAGCAAAAATCGACTTTTCTGGGCTGCAGACACCCTCAGTGTCTCGGCCGTGGCCGAGACACTTGGGGTGTCTCGGCCACGGCCGAGACACTGAGGGTGTCTCGGCCTTGGCCGAGACACTTACGGTGTCTCAGCTTTGGCCCGGGGCATTGATTCGTGCATCCCGTCCGTTTCTGCCATATCTTCGTCGTCCAAACATAGAATCATGTGATTCAAAGTGCGTAGGAAAGCCGATGAAGAGATCTATAAGCTTCCATGGTTGAATCACATGTGAAGTATACAGGACCCGAGGGGTGGTTCGTCTTTCATAAGTGATGTGTAGCTCCCGATCAGCTCGTGTTTTCGTTATTCTGAAGTTTCGTTACTTCACATGGTTCGTCGACTCACTTCATATGCTTGTTGATGTCAAATAAGCTTCTGTGACTCAGATAGTAACATTCATCATCTTCTCTCTATCTCGAGCTGTGTGCGGGAACCTATAGACATTTTTAGACGCCCACAATAACATATTTATTTTTATTTTTGACATAATATTCAAATTTTTGAGGTTTTACATGCTTCCTCCCTTAAAAAAATTTCGTCTCCAAAATTCCACAGTCGTATTACAGAGATTAATAATACCAGAAAAGCATGTTGAGGGGATAATCTAGAGAAGGAAACCCTCACATATACATCTCACACCATTAATCTCCGGATATAAAACACAGCTATATCTACACTTAACAATCTAGAATGTGAATACTCTCACTTAACCCCTAAGTAAAGGGAACTAGTACGCTGGAAGAAAAATCTAAACAAGAAACCCCTCATATATATACCATGTGTTCCGAATGATTAGGAGTTAAGTGTTAATACCATCATTCTAGCATTAAGTATAAACATGACTAAACAACATATATAATCATAACTATCAATGCATATAAGCACATATAAATATCAACATCTTACCTACTCAAACAGGTATAGGTAGTCGCAACGTACATCTTCCTCGCGCTCCCAAGAAATCTCTTAGGCTCCATGCCGGCTCCACTGAACTTTTACTAATGGAATGACTTTATTTCTAAGATTTTTACTCTCTTTAGCAAGAATACATATCGGAATCTCTACGGTAGTCAAATCATCCTGGATCTCAATCTCTGATGCATCAATTACCCTTTGCTGCTCTTCATCGCGCAAATGCTTCTTGAGCATCAAAATATGAAAGATATCGTGTACACTTGACATCGATGCTGGAAGCTCTAATCTATAGGAAACAACTCCAATACGCTTAATAATCCTGAAGGGACCAACATATCTCGGAGCAAGTTTTCCCCATCTACCAAATTGCTGAACGCCTTTCATCGGTGATACTTTTAACATAATTAAGTCTCCGACCTGGAACTCTAGTGGTCGTCTCCGCTGATCTGCATAACTCTTTTGCTGACTCTGTGCAGCAAGAATGCACTCTCTAATTAATGTCACATTCTCTGTGATATGCCTAATTAGCTCCGGCCAAGGTAATAAGCTATCCTCTGGCTCTGCCCAACATATAGGTAATCTGTAAGGCCTCCCGTATAATGCTTCATACGGTGCCATCCTGATAGTAGCTTGATAACTATTATTATCTCCCTTAAAAAAATTTCGTCTCCAAAATTCCACAGTCGTATTACAGAGATTAATAATACCAGAAAAGCATGTTGAGGGGATAATCTAGAGAAGGAAACCCTCACATATACATCTCACACCATTAATCTCCGGATATAAAACACAGCTATATCTACACTTAACAATCTAGAATGTGAATACTCTCACTTAACCCCTAAGTAAAGGGAACTAGTACGCTGGAAGAAAAATCTAAACAAGAAACCCCTCATATATATACCATGTGTTCCGAATGATTAGGAGTTAAGTGTTAATACCATCATTCTAGCATTAAGTATAAACATGACTAAACAACATATATAATCATAACTATCAATGCATATAAGCACATATAAATATCAACATCTTACCTACTCAAACAGGTATAGGTAGTCGCAACGTACATCTTCCTCGCGCTCCCAAGAAATCTCTTAGGCTCCATGCCGGCTCCACTGAACTTTTACTAATGGAATGACTTTATTTCTAAGATTTTTACTCTCTTTAGCAAGAATACATATCGGAATCTCTACGGTAGTCAAATCATCCTGGATCTCAATCTCTGATGCATCAATTACCCTTTGCTGCTCTTCATCGCGCAAATGCTTCTTGAGCATCAAAATATGAAAGATATCGTGTACACTTGACATCGATGCTGGAAGCTCTAATCTATAGGAAACAACTCCAATACGCTTAATAATCCTGAAGGGACCAACATATCTCGGAGCAAGTTTTCCCCATCTACCAAATTGCTGAACGCCTTTCATCGGTGATACTTTTAACATAATTAAGTCTCCGACCTGGAACTCTAGTGGTCGTCTCCGCTGATCTGCATAACTCTTTTGCTGACTCTGTGCAGCAAGAATGCACTCTCTAATTAATGTCACATTCTCTGTGATATGCCTAATTAGCTCCGGCCAAGGTAATAAGCTATCCTCTGGCTCTGCCCAACATATAGGTAATCTGTAAGGCCTCCCGTATAATGCTTCATACGGTGCCATCCTGATAGTAGCTTGATAACTATTATTATATACAAATTCAATCAATGGGATGTGGAGATTGAGTCTCGATCTGATACGATCGTCTCCGGGACTCCATGCTATCGAACGATCTCTCGGATGAAAATCATCGCATATGTATGCGCCATATAAGTCATCCTCACATGTAAGAAATGCACCGACTTCATCAACCTATCTACTATCACCCAAATAGAATCATTTCCTTTCTTTGTTTTAGGAAACCCTGTAATAAAATCCATGGAAATATCTGCTCACTTTCACTCAGGAATGAGTAAAGACTGTAGGATCCCTGCAGGTCTTTGATGTTCTGTCTTAACTTGCTGGTAGGTAAAACACTTAGCCACATACTCTGCAATCTCTCTACACATGTCACTGCACTTGAAATGCCTCTTTAGGTCTTTATACATTTTCGTCGTGCCTGGATGTACTGTATACATGCTATGATGCACCTCATCAAATAGATCTCTCTTCAGTCATGGATTGTTCGGCATAACTAATCGACCCTTCATCCGAAGGCCTCCATCTACTCTAATAGTCCAATCAGCCTTAGGTTTCTTGGAAATCTCCTCCTTACTGGTTTGAATCCAAGAGTCCTCTAGCTAAGCTCCGATCACTCTATCGCTCCAATATAGATGAACTGATAAAGGTCCTAAGAAAGCACTGCTCTCCCCTAATCTCTGGTCTGAAATTATAGTGGCTGAGGGTATAAAGATCTTAATGTAAGAACACCTCAAAGCTGCAAGCCTGCGACGTCGCTTCCTGCTTAACGCGTCTGCTATCATGTTTGCCTTTCCTAGATGATATTGTATAGTGAACTCGTAATCCTTAATAAACTCTACCCATCACCGCTACCTCTGATTGAGTTCTTCTGTGAGAAGAGATATTTTAAGCTCCGGTGAGTTGTGAATAACTCAAATTTTACTCCATACAAATAATGCCTCCACGCTTTCAGTGCAAAAACCACTGCTGCTAGCTCCAAGTCGTGCGTAGGATAATTCTGGTCTGCATCACAACACCTCCTATACCCGCTAACTATGCATTCGTGTAGATGACAAATATTTTATCACTGCTTAGAATAACCATTACTGACGTTGTATCCAATTTCATTTTTAGAGTCTCAAAGGCTTCCTGACACTCCGTGCCCCCAATCAAACTGTACACCCGTATGCGTAAGGCGTGTAAGTGGTGTTGCAATCTTCGAGAAGTATTGAATGAACTTCCTATAATAGTCGGCCAAACCTAAGAAACTACGAATATTTGTAATTGTCTTCGGTGGCTCCCAATAAGGTACTTCTTTCACTTTAGCTGGATCCACTACAATGCCCATATTGCTGATAATATGACCAAAAACCTGACCTTAGAACTGATGCTCTTGCAAAGTCTACAATACCAAATGAAGATGTTGCTCATGCTTTACCTCTAATCTTGAATAGATAAGGATGTCATTGATAAATCAACCACAAACTTGTCCAAACATGGACGAAAAACTTGGTTCACCAATGGGTGCATTGGTCAGCCCAAATAGCATGATAAGAAACTTAAAAGACCCATATCAAGTCAGACAGGCGATTTTGGGAATATTCATTCCCCGCACTCGTAACTAAAAATAATCAAAACCAAGATCAATCTTCAAAAATGCTGCGCCCTCCGCAGCTAGTCGAACAAGTCATAAATCCTCAATAGTGGATACCTGATCTAGGAAGTGACCTTGTTCAACTCACTAAAATCTATACATAATTGCATACTACCGTCTTTCTTCTCCACGAAGAGGACCAGTGCTCCTATGACAATGACTCCAGAAAATAAAACTCTGAGATAACAACTCATCTAGCTATGTCTATAACTTCCTCATCTCAGCGGGTGCTATATGATAGGGTGCTCAGAATATCGGTACGGTGCCTGCTGTAACTCGATGCAGGAAAACAACCTCTCTTACTGGAGAAAATATCAGTATGTCCTGAAAGATATCCTGATACTCTGAGACAACTCTGGTCTCACTCAAATCTACACCCCGATCTTGTATCATCACTACCTCGACGTATGCCAGAAATGAATCCACATTCTGGTTACCCTATGAGGTTGCTACTATCTATACAAATTAATTGAATGCTCACAAGCTGACTGCCTTTGCAAAACAGTCTATACTAACGTGGTAGGATGATAACGAATCCATACCAAGAATAACATCAAACATCGAACATTCGTAGGACGATCAAATTGACCACGGACTCAAACTCATCTAAACTAACGACACATCTCCTATAGATACTCTCTAAGAGAGACACCTCACCTAAAGGAGTAGAAACTAATAACGGAATGCCTAAAGATTGCACTACGAGCTGATGTCTAATCATGATAGATAAAAGAATGTGAAGCTTCTGAATCAACAAGATTTAAGCTGGAAAGGAAATCACTAAGAAATCTCTGCTCGTACCATGATCACGCGGTACAACTGCATAAACCTTACCGGTGGATGGTGATTGCTACGCTAATGGCGATGGAATATATATGACTGACTGTCCCTCAGGAATCTACTGGATGGCATGAATCTGGCCTGCTAGCCTCTCAATCCTCAAGTCCGCTGGATGTGCCTCAAATCCTCTGCTACTTACCGTAACCGTGGACCTGAGACTGCTGATTTTGACCTCTGTCATGCTGGCCTCCTGCTGGTGTACTGCAACAATTGTAACATGTACACTAAATTTTGCGCTACTGTGGCGCTCTTGAATTATATTGTAGGTTGTGCTCTCTTCTTATGATATCCTTGTTACTGGCGGTAAAACTCCTTACCCTGCTGCTGGGGCTCTCTAGATTCCGCAACTGTTCTCTTGCTCTTATTATTGTCATGCTGGTCATGATTCTATAATTAACTACATGTATATCTCCCTACTTTAATTAGACTAGTTATACTGCTTATCAAAGCAGCAAACAAAATTCTCCTAAATAAGCAGTATTCGCTGCTCCGGCAAAAATCTAAAGTCGGTGCCATCCTCCGGTGTCATCCTCCAGTGCTATCCTCTGGTGATATCCTCTACACTGAATACATCTAACTCTGCTTTAGTACTGAATCGACGTTAAGAAATCTTCACATATTTCTTCTATTTATAGTATGCACATAAATTCGATGTGCCTCGAAATTATGATGCTATCAGTGTTTGATGTTTTTCTTATTCTTACAGAGCCAAGTCTATTGCTCTACGGCTCTATCAACAGCTGGTTGTGGTGATGATATAATCATTAGTATTGCCTCTTCAATAAGCACGACTGGTACAACTGGTAGTGGAACTCCAAAAAATGTAATATGACTCGTTACTCGCTCCTTGAGTATTGCTAGTCTCTACTTCTGCGATCCGCGTTACAAAATTAATTAGATACTGTGAAACCTGCTGTGGCTCGGGCTCTGCTTGCCCAGCTCTCTGGATACAAGTTTTATCTTGATCGCATCCTCGTCCTGACATTTATAATATCAAGAGGAGAGCTTAATGGACACAGTAAATGAGTTCGCAAACATATATACATAACATAACATATCACATAGTATTCACGCAAATACTCTTCAATCAAAGTATGGTAGTCATAAAAGAATTTGTAATTTTTGAATATACATTTATAACGTCCTCACTCATTCTAGGAATTCCAAGTGGACTCTATACATGAATCGTAGGAAACTCTATCCTAACTCTACGACTTGACACATGATGATCC